GGCGTAGGTCAGGCACACCGCGGCGGCCGTGAGGGATTCGGAGTCCGCGGGCCGACTCGGCGGCGCCCTGGGGTCTCCACGCGGTCCGGGCTTTTCCGCCACCTCCCCCTCGGTCACCCGCTCTAGGAAGCTGCTGGCCGGCGTGGGAGGGGAAGAGCCGGCTTCAGGCCCAGGAATCAGGCATTAGCCTGGCCCGTTGCAAGTATCTGCGATCCCAGTACTCTGGGAGACTGAGGCAGGAAGATTGCAACTTTGAGCTCAGCCCGGGCTATTTGAGAACTTGACTCAAAAAAGAAAACAGAACGGCTGGGGTTGTAGCTCTCGCAAAGGCCCTGGGTTCAATCCCGGGTTCCGTTCCGCCCTCTCTCAAACAAACATGTGCAGTGGCCTTAGGATTCCAATGCCAAAGGGCTTCAACCCACGCAGGCAGGAAGTCCTCCCAGGCTCCACAGGGGCTGGCCTGACCCCAGCTCTTAGAACTGAATTGTCCCTCCTCAAGGACTAGCAGCAACTTCTAGGGGTGCAGCCTTCCCAGGCTGACCAGCTCCTACACAGTATTGCCCCCGATTGCTGGCCCTGACCACAAGGCTTAGTGGGTGTGAAGAGGAGGAAAGAGAAAGGGTTAAATGGAAAGAGGAAAAAGGAGAGAGGACTGCAGGACCGGGCGTGCCAGACAGGTCTCAAAAATCATTCAGAATTCCGGAGTTCCTTCAGACACATTTTATTATAATCTTGATACAGTCTACATAAATGTGAACTTGTGTTTATTTGGGCTAAGTTATAACAGCATAATAAAAATCAAAGCACGGGTACTCTGAAATAAAGCAGGCAATCACCAGTCAATAAACACACTTGATTTATTTTGTATAAAAGGGTTAAGTTTACATCTAAACTTTTATAAAAAGTTTAGCATGAATAAGTACATCATTACACGTTTTATGCAGAAATATCCATCTCTGCCACTATACAAGAAAACTCTAATTAAAGAGTTCACCATGTTCCACTGAATATATATATATATATATATATTTATATAAACATATACACAGCATTCAGTAGGCTTGCGTCAAAAAGGTAATTTCTGACCAAAGACTTCATTTAAGTAACTGAATACTGAATCCTTCTGGTATTCACGCTCCACCTTTGAAAAAAGGCAAAGTCTGCTTAGATTGGGCAATTCCTTGGGATTTCAACTCCCCATGGTGGGAATAGTATATAAAGAAAACCTTCCAACTGCAGAAAGGGCATTTAAGTCTTTTCATAAATAACGTATATCACAGTCCAGGTCAGGCAACACCCTGGGAAGATGACCATTCTTACTTTTCCTTCTTATTTTTCTTTTGAGAAAGGTCCATTCAAACTTGTTGTCCTGATGCAATGGTTGAAAAGTTCGGCATCTTAAAAGATCCTGTGGATTTGTTGTTTTTGTTGTTGTGCAAAAAAGAAAAAGAAAGAAAAAGAAGAAAGAGGAAAAAAACCCTCTTGAACACCTGCAAAAGATCGGGAGAGAAAGGCGTGTTTAGCAGAACGTAAGCCAAGGGCAGAGGCCGGCAGCCTGGCGCCGCCGAGGAAGCCGCAGTTTGAATATTTAACCAAACCCTGGAGACTGGGGGAAGCCTGGCGTCCACACGCAGCACACAGACGGCCTCCAAGGCGCAAATTAAACATGAAAATAACAGAGGCTCCAGGGGAAAACTTCCCGACCCAATCTCCTATTTGGATTCCAGCGGCTGCGCTCACAGGCGCCAGGCCGCTTCTTGTAACAATTATTTGATTGGAAACAGCTCTTCAGCGAGCAGATAGGCGTCGGCTCCCACAGTCACCGGGTCGCAGGACTGTGCTGTCGGGGCAGGAGGCTCGCTGTGGAATCCGTGGCGATAAGATTCATGACAGTGGAGGTTGGCGCCTCGTAGGACCAGAGAAATAAACAGCAGCCAGCAGCCCAGGCACAGCATTTGCTACCTAAACCAGGCACGCAGTGCCTCGGCCACCTTCCTGCTCAGCCCGCCCGGGACGCTCTGCCTTGGCGAGGGGCCGCGGCGGCAAGCCCCTTCCTGTCTGGCCGGACAACCCAGCACACGATCCCGGCGGAGCAAGCACCCATTTACCGCGTGGAACATTTCACCGGCTCGCGAGCGACCTCGCAGAAGCAAATCACGAGGACACACGCACGCACGCTGGGACACGCGGACACTCACCCTTTCTTCAGCCACAGAGGGCTTTGCTGTCGTCTGAGGTGAAGTCGGGAGGGAATTCGGACGCCTGGAGGGGAAGAGGATAAAGGCAGGGCGTTAGACAATCTTGGGCACGCAAGGGCTTGCACGCCGCGCCTGCAGCTCTCGCAGGGACCGACGTGGCCTGGCCTCCTCGCAGCCCGCGCGGCCGGCTCACCTGCAGGGACAGGATGCTGATGTCCGTGTTGAGCGTGGTCAGCGGCGTCCGGGACGCCTGGTTCTGCCCGGGTCTCGGGTGGTGCAAGGTGACGATGGCGGGGTGCGAGTCGAGGGCGAGCTGCAGGTCCAGGATGTAGTCGATGACATGCTGCAGTATTTCCATCCTGCTCACCTTCTTGTTCTGGGGGATGCTGGGCACCAGCTCCTTCAGCTTGGAGTAGCAGTCGTTCATGTTGTACAGCAGGTTCATCGGGTCGTCCGCCGGGGCTTTGCTCCGGGAGATGCCCAGGCTGTGGTCCGACGGGCTGGTTTTCCTAACGGACCTCACCGGACTGAAAGCTTTCATGCTGATCGCGGGGCGAGGAAGAGAAACCGGGCTGCCCTGGAGCTCAGGCCGCCGCCTGCAGAGAGCAGCGATAGGACCGGGCTCGGCTCGGAATGAAGCTCGAGCCCGGGCGGGGCGGATTTTATTTGCGCTCGCCGGGGCCCCCCACGAGCGGCTATCCTTTCGTTCGTATTGGTGAAAAGCGGCGCGTCCATCAGGCCGAGGGCGTTCTCCCATTGGCTCGTCCGGGCGCGGGCGAGCGCTCGGTTCTTCCGCATTCACAGCCAATCCCCGAGAGGTAGGCGTGGCCGGCTCCAGCCCAGCTGGGCTGGTAAATAGTACAGTAAGCAAGCGCGGCGCGTGGTGTGGTCAGGCTAAGGTGCGTCCTTGATTTTAATTTTAAATGCACGCAGGACCCTAGCCCAGGAGGTGTGTCCTGACGAAACGTAGCAGCTTGCAGCAGCCCGAAAGTTACAGCGCCAGGGGAAAATGTCCCAGTGCCCTGCAGCCCAGGGGACAGCGTCAGGACCCAGCCAGCCCTGCAGCAGCACAGGGAGAGGGAGCCGGATAGTTGAGCTGTTGGAGGCCACGTGTGCAGAGTGAGTCCCTCTCTTCAGATAAGGAAAGACTCGTTACAGAAAATACTATGCACTCAAGGTCAGGGTCCGTGTGGGATTTTGCAAGGCAGGAGGCGTCACTGGCAAATCAGTGAGATGAGTGTCCTGGGAGTCCGTGCCCACCCTGCCACTGACCGCTGGGGGCGCTCTTCAGGAAGCTGGCCAGGATGGCCCTGTGCGTGGCAGTTACAGGGAGAGAAGTCCCTGTCCACACTGCCCTTCATTACGCACATCCCTGATTTCTGAGTTAACACTCCCGCGCCTACTGTGTTTCCAAAGCTCTAGCCATTCGTGGACGTCTTAACACTTTATTTAAAGAGTATTTTGTTACTTATGAGATTTGGAACCTTTGCAACGCAGGTACTGGAGGCAACTCCAGGATATTATTGTACTGTCATTGCTGAGAACTCACTGTTCCGATCTAAATAAGTTCACAGCTCCTGACTCAAATACTTTAATTCACACGGAAGTCCTGCTCAACTGAAGACCAAGTGTGTTTATTGTTGTGCTTGGAAAAAAATCCTACTGAGGTCATATAAAATCATAGTGGAAAACAAACTAGAGAACCCTGGAAAACGTCATCTCAATACTTTGCTTTTTTCTCCATATCCACGTCCTTTGCATGTAAGAGAGGAAGAAGGCCGGAGATTGAAAAAAGCCCTAGTGGGGAAACAGTGCTTTTTCCTTCGATTAATGATTAAGTCCACCGCAGTGGGCCAGGCTGACCTCGGCGCTGGCCATGTGCCCTGGGGCTTTCTCCAGGAGGCAGAGTGGTGGCCGAAGCTGGTGTCACACGTAGAGTCCAGCCACCTGCCCTTGGAGGAAGGCTGAGGGTTCCGGAGACCTTACCTGGGCCCTGCCCACTCCTCCCAGCCTGGCTCCGCAGTAGCGCCCGGTGAATGAGGTGGCTTCTAATATCAAGCCTGGGAACGGCTCGCTATCCGAGTCCCCACAGTTCGAGTCTTGTGATGTACTTTGAGTGCATGTTTCTCTGTCACATACGTGCCACAGCGGAACAGATTTTGTTTTGACATTATTTTGGTTCATGATGTTATACTTTGACTATTCTACAATAATAGCCAATGTAAACAAACATCTTTGGGATTCTCACATTATTGCTTGTGATTCTTGGACACTCTGCGATCCTGACACCCTCCTTTGCTTTGCCCAAGGACACCGTGTGTCCGATCCGGCCGGCTTCTCCGTCCCAACGCGGGGCCGGGCCGACGCTAATGCGGCTCCGGTGGCTTCCAGCCGCGCTTCTCCAGGGCCGTTTCTATACCCCGCTGTAGTAAAGCTGCTAAATATGGTGCAGGTTTTCTGGTGCTGCTTTCTTTAGGTGCCTCGCGGAGTCCAGTCTGCCTGGCCGCGTTGAATTGTATTCTATTGGCAAGCTATGCCGTTCTGCCTTCATTTAAAGATAATTCTGAGGGGGATTAGAAATCTGTATAAGTTAATGAGTTACCAGTTGTCTCGGCAAGCCGGAGATGAAATCACCTTTAAAATTAAACCGTCCTGGGGAGGGGGAGAGGAGGGGACAATCTGGCTGGCGCATTTTTGGGGTGACTTAAAAAGGCACTGCAGATCTGCGGATTCCATTGGTGCCTTTGGGTTTGCATTGAGGCGCTCAGGCTCACAGGGTCCCAGCGGCAGGAAGAGCCGGATCCGTGGGTGGTGGGAAGGTGTGAACGGTTTCCGGCGGGGCTGGGGCGCGAGGGTGGGTCCCGTCCTCCGCTCCCCACGGGCTGTCCCCGCGTGGAAGGGCACAGGGGCGCTGC